TCTGGCGCCAAGAGCCAAGGGGGTGAGGAGGCCGTGGATACCCGCTTTCGTCGACGTCGAGGAGCCAGTAGGTTGTCTGCTTTGTGGTCTTCAGGTCCATCTTAGACCGGCGGGTCGATCCTTGGATCATTATCCATTGAGATCGAAAGATATCGTTCTAGATCGATATGTCCCTATTTTGGTAATGATATTCGTTCGATAATGATACAACAATCGTCAAATTTTGAACAATTTTTGAATCGCACTGGAAATAAAAACACATTAGATCTAGAGTCCAGACTCTTGAAAACATTGACAAGAAAAAATACTCTTCATTCAATCGGATTTTTGCTTGAATCAAAACGAAATCCGCATAAACTAAGAGGCTTGGCTCTTGATTTAAGATAGATTCTGATTGAATCAAGAGTACTTTTTCTTGTCGATGTTTTTTAAGAGTCTGGACTCTAGATCCAATGTGTTTTTTTTTTCCAGTGCGTTATCGATAGAGATCGAGAGATATCGTTATAGATCGATGAGTCCCTATTTCAGTAATGATATTCGTTCGATAACAATTCAACAGTCAACTCGCAGTTCCTCGACGTATTCTGCCGTGCTAAGGAAAAATGCCGTATGAACCTTCAGGCGTTGCCAAATTTCCTCTCATAAAATACAAATTCGTTGCAAAATTTGTAAATAGCTTTCTCTCAATTTTTTCGGCAATTTTGCTCCCAATTCAACCGAAAAGATTTGAAAATTTCAAAGAAAAAAATATGCATATAGCTTTCCTCCACGATATATTTTTTTATCAGAGGAAATATGGCAACAGGTATACTCATACGGCGTTTTTCCTTAGTGCGGCAGTAGAAGGATGTCAATCTCCAGCTACAACTTGAATTAGTCGATGCCTAAACCAAAATTTTCAAAAATATTGACCGAAAAATTGTTTTTGAGCGGAAACCTCATCTTTTAGGAACGTTCATAAATTTACGTAACGCTCTAGGGGGGAGAAGAAGTATGAGCCTAAGTTATGCTGCGTTTCAAGGGGCGAGAGGGGGTCAGTGCCAGCGTAATCTTAAAAGTCGATTCTTTACCATAGCTTCAAATGGAGAAATTTCGACCATTCACACCTCGGCACTGGTAATTATTAATGAGGTTCCAGGATTGCGTTACAAATGGGGGAAGTAGGCCAAAAATGCCGAAAAAGTGCGTTCCGTAATTTATGAATATTCCTTTTAAGGACACTTCCATTGTCTGTGTGCAGATCAACTAATATTTCGGAAGTTTGATTTTTTTCTTTCTTTTTTTATGACAAAAATTATTTCAATCACAGGCAATACAACGGCTACAACAATATATGCAAAGAAAGACTGGCAGCAAAAATCTAGTTCGCCCATAAATTCGATAAAAGTTGAACGGCAGAGTTGAAATCGGTCATGACTCGCTCCACACACTTCGATGGACATTTATTTGGACGTATTTCTGTCAAACGGAACTATGTGCATTATGACGTGAGCCCTGTTATGCATACATTCCTATGGGTCTTAGGGCTCGCGTCTTAATGCACATAGTTTCGTTTGATAGAAATACGTCCATTTAACCCTTTATTTCCTAAAGCGAAAATCACCCTATCAGATCATTCCACGCTGAAATAGCGTCTATTTAATTTCTCATAAATATATGTGAAGCAAATTAAAAAGGATTGTCAAAATTGGTTTTGGCTTACTCCAGCAACAACACTCCAAAATCACTAAGCGGCCTTGCTCATCTGATCTTTTGTTTTTTAAGTTAATTTTTCCTAAATTTTCTTTAAAATTTAACTCTTTGGTCAAGTCAGATTTCAGCATCAACTGATTCTATTGCCAAATTATTTTCATCCCCAAATTGTATACTAAGACAAGGCTTTGTCCATCAAGACCGTTCAAAAAAGAAAGGATGTAATTAACGAAAACAAATTTCACGGATGTTGATTTTCAAGATTTGAATTCTGCATTGAAAATTATTTGTGCCACATAGTAAAAAGGACATTTATAATGTTTTGTGGAATTTGTAACGACTGAGACAAATGATCTACCGTATTGTATTTTCGCATTTATGACTAAACTATTATATGTGTCTTGTTTTTAGCTCAAGTTTTTTTTTTTTTTTTTTTTTTTTTTTTTTTTTTTTTTTTTNCATTTATATACTAAAACAAAGAAAATAAATCAACAAGAAATATTAGATGTACATAATTTTATGAAGCAAAATCCGAACATTTTTAAAACAGATAGTACGACATCCTTCATTATGTTCATTAATTAATCAATGCAAAATTTAAAAATATAAGGGTAGGTTCTGTACATTTCATTTACAATTCTATCATATATATATTACAAATAATTATATAGTTATTGCACTTTTTCTTGTCACAAGGCCTGTGTGTTCATGAGGACTATTCGTGCCTTTTGACGATTACAGGACGTTAAAATGTTCCTAAGTAATAAATAGTTGTGATGTTATCGATTCTTTTTTCGCAAATTTAAAATACAGGAAATTTTTGTGAATAAGTGACTCAAGTATTTAATTGATGACCGTAAGTGAATGGTCAATACAGTCAGAGATAACATGACATTTTTGTTAAGATACTTAATTTCGAAACTGGCGGAGGAGGAACATTATCATTCATTTAAACTAGCTTATGGAGAGCCTACCTCCCATTTCAGTATTCTGTGAATGACTCACTGACTTATAAAGTATTTAAAATCTCAAAAGTTACATAAGGGTGAAAGTCTCTTCTGCCTTTTTTAAAACAACTTATGATTAACTAAGAAGATACAAAGAGCAAAACTCGCATTAATGCATTCTCTCATGCATTTTAATGACAGGTGAAGCATGACATGGGATTGCGCGAATTCTACAATATATTATTCAGAAAAACTTCTGTTTTGTAAATTGGGTGCTAATAAATACTTAGTTCTAACCTCACAATTGACGGCTCATTAATGATGGCATTAACTATTTCTGTCATAAATCTCTGAGCCGCAATGAAAAATATTAGCTCAATAAATAGTGATCACCAAATTATCAAAGTATCGGTTTTTATTCAAAATCAAGCAGGAAGCAAAATCACTCTTAAACGAAACAGGCACCTTGTAAGAATCTCTGAATCTTTTTTTTATAAAGACTTTCTCTCTCTTAGACAAACATATTTTGACTCTTAGTTTGAGTGCGAGGTACTTGATCCCCGAGTTGCTTTTACTAGAAAGCTTAGCAACTGGAGGAGCAAGCGGAAGAGAGTGCGAGTGAGTGAGACATGATTATTTTTTTGGAGAATAATCACGCTCATTTCAGGAGTTTTCCGCAATACTAAGTTTTTCTTTGGAGAGCGATAAATGAGCATCGTAACCAAACATATTTTGATACGGCTGTGCACTGAAAAAAAAATCTCGGTGTATTTACTAAGAAAAGGGTAAAATTATCAAGAATTCAGGGTTCTATTTGATCCCAGTTTTTTCTTGGTAAAATTACCATTTATGGAATTGGTAATTTTACCGAGAAATCTCGGTAAAATTGTTGAACTTTCTCGGTATTTTTACTGGACCTTCGTAAAAACGCCAATATTTTTTATCGACTGTGGTAGAATTACCGGGATAAAATGGCAAAGTTATCGGGCATTGATTACCAATAAAAGTGGTATTCTTACCTGAAAAAAACAGTAAAAATACCGGTTTTAAGGTAAGCTTACCAATCTGTTTTGGTAAAATTACCAATAATTGGTAAAAAAAGTGAGATGGTAAAGGTACCAACGGACCTTGGTAAAAACGCCGAGAACTTTTTTTCAGTGTAAGTTTTTCTTTGGAGAACGATAAATGAGCATCGTAACCAAACATATTTTGATACGGCTGTGTGGTTTAATTTTTACTACGGCCTCTGCAAGAGATCACGACAATTTTGGGAATAAAGAAAAAATCCTCCCATGGATTTCATTTTATTACGGTAAGTTTAACCTTAAGTGAACCTTAGTGTTGAATTAACATAGAGGTGATGCGAATGGATGGTAGTCCAGAAACCTACGGAAGTATTGACTTGAGTAAATAGCACAGATCGGGATTACAGAGGCGTGACGTGCTTTGCGATATATCGATTGATCTGCTATTTAAACCCATAGAAAAGGATCGATAAACTCGGTCTTCGCAATGAACAACTTAATAATCGATTCTTTACCACAGCTTCAAACGGAGATAATCGATAATCGATCATTCACGCCTCGCCACTACGGGATTAATTCAATGCTGATCAGAAGTTGACTCAAATTATGGGCATTAACTATAAACATGTATTTTCGCGTTAGTACGAGAAATGAACACCTCTATTTCTTTTTACACACAATGTACATGAGGCTGGCGATATACAATGGAGAGAAAAATAATTTGAATATATTTACATGACATTTCAAACTTCAAAGACTCATCTCTCCTGTAAAAATTTCGCCTAATTTTACTAGCAATGAGTATTCGTGTCCCTAACTTGAGATTGAGTTCATGAATTTAGTTCAAGAGATGATGTCTAAAAGTTTTCATTTTTCGGAGCTTAGCAGGCTCTGGTTGACTATACCTCCCTTGTTATAATACAATTGAATAATTATACTACAAAGGTAATTTCGTGGAACGGTTGGATCTAAAAAAAATTTGCGCCAGACTCACTGCGGTCTAAAATGTAAACAGTAAAGTGTTACGGTTGGTAGTGGCGGTGACACGTTAGCAAAATTCCACCAGAAAAAGTATACAGCCGACAAACTTCTGACTTTTCAGAGGTTAACTATAGTTGTGAGTAGCGACTAGGCACACTCGTTTTCACATCATGTAAAAAAATTTAGTTTCCTTTTTTCCGCTAATTTTTAGATGTGCTCATCATACTAAGGTGAGTAATGAATTTTAAGAACAATAATAATAACAATTTTAAGGGCGCAGTCCCTTTAAATCGCGAAATAAAACAAATAAATACACAATAAAATAGTATCACAATGAAACGTATCTCTATTACAATGTTTCAATTAATTTTCTGACCTCTCCGTATTCTCTGTTATCTCATTTCAAAAAACATATTGCCCCCAAGTAAATAAGACATTTTGAGTATGTTTGATTGGCATCAAAAATTTAGTTGAAAAAAAAAAAAACGTTTACATAATAAATAATCTAACCTAACGAATAACCACCTTGTTACTTAATGAATAAATGAGTTCATTGAATGGTGGATATTTTTTGATACTTTCAATATACCTGAAGATAAAAGCTCATTCATTTCGAATTTCTGATCGGGTATCATTTTGTATACGCTCTATGTCCATTCTTGAGAACTTTTCAGATTTTTCCAATATTGTAAAAAAAAAATTAAAATATTTGACCTCAACTGGTATTTTCTTGAACACGTATGTGACCAGAAAATAAATGCATAAAAGTGGAAAGTTGAAAAAAATAGCGAAATGAATATACGCAACATATTCCACACAATTCACCGAAAGGAATTGCCCTTTGAAATATTTATAAAAAATGTCACGCTAACCATCACAAAAAGAATAGTAGTTGAAACAAATAACGGGACATTTTCTCATCATAATCTACTTAAGAATTTTGTTGTGTTTCCATGTATCTATTTTTCCAACACTTTTTGAACACACTGAAAAGCTACAAAGCTCGTAATTTTATCGTCTTAGGAACTGTGCTTAAGATTGTTGAGAGAGAAAGTTTGCCTTTTTCCCCTAATGCCACGTAGAGAGGAATTTAATGTTTAACTGAATGAATTTGAACTATATACTTTGCAGAACGAGACATCTTTGATACAATAAACTTGACAACGATTCTATGAGATAAAAATGTTGGGTTACAATAAAATACTCTTGACCAAAATGGTTAGAAATATTTATGGAGTCCCATAAAGTTGAGAGAAATTGAGGAAAAAGTTTGCAACATAATTCAAATAATAACTTACAGTGCCATTCATATAGAGTATACAATCGATGAGAATAAAATTCCCTAATATTTCAAATAAAATTGTTACAAAGAAAAGAGTTTAAATTGCTTGCAATTTACATATCCATGACACCCAGCGTAATATAAATTAAAATTAATTCCGTAGATCCGCATTTTGCACTGACGATATTGCATCCACATAGGGAAGGCGCAAAACGCGGAAATAAAGGGTTGGAGGCCAAGGCGTTGATGAAAATTAAAAGATGAAGTTTTTTAAGGGTGGAAGAAGGGAGCAGAGCCTCGCAAGGGTAACATATTGCAGTAACTGATAGTTCAATTTAATTAGGGAACAGATGTGACTCTCGCTGAGGCTGGAGCAGGACACTTTACACAGGAGCGAAAACTACGTGTTGAGACCCGATGATTTGTTAATTTGATAATAGAAAGGCTTTATTAATAACTCCAGCGGTGGTTTTAGGGTAGTGCAAGCAGTGCCACTGCACTGGACGCCGAAACAAGAGGGGTGCTGAAGCCGGTCCCTTACCGCCCTTGCATCGTGGTCTTCTACTCCGTGTTACTCATCAGAGCAATTTCATATTATTGGGAACCTAGGACGGCCCCTGTAACAGCGCCTTCATGTTACCTTGTATGCAACATTCATAGCCACTAAGTAGGAACAGTGGTGATTTAGGCAATAGCATCAAAGTCTGGTCGCGTGCCTTAGAGAGATTTCATACGCATCAGCTCCAAACCCTAAAATTATCAACGAGTAGGTTTCCTCCACGTCCCTATTTTAAAAGATATGTACGTATATTTTACCATTGCAAAATATATTGAACACGAAACAAAGTTTACTTTTTCTGAATTAGAAGATCTTGTCATTGGCAAATCTCTCAACCTTTTGCTTTCTCATTTCAAAGATGAAGTTTTGATACGTCATGTTGTGTATTTTGGACACAATTTTGAGTGGAAAAGCGATTTTTGTTATAGGATGAGCTGAAATCTCCAAGTTATGTATGGACCCAAATTAAGACAGGCAAGATTGTAAAATAGATATAGATCGTCACAAAACAGCAAAACACCATGAGATTCTGGTAAAATAACGGCCATTAGTCGTTAAACTGAATTTTACTCACATTTTCATGAATTAGCGATGACATTTGTTGATTTTATTCATTGGTTTTCTTTACTCAAACGAAAATTAACTTAATGTTGATGGACTCGGGAAAAATCTGAGAATCATGTACATAGGTGTGATTCTCAAACACACAAATCTCGGATTTTATTTTACAGCCTCCTATGATAAATTTTTGATACAATCAATGAGAATTGTTTCCTCAATCGATAGAGTTTTGCACACCCCCAGTATTCCTATTTTCTGATAGTTTTACAATCGTGTGTACATCAAAGTCATATCCTCCTTCATCATGACCATATTGATTGAAATATTGCACTAATATGATCGAATGATGTGCAGATCTGACCTACGAAATAAAGGTGCACACCTGTGGTTATAATTACCTACGCTGAACAGATGACCTTTTTCTCATTGATTGATATTACTCGGATCGATGGAGTCAGAAGCATGTTTAACACAAAGTTTTAGAGATTTTTCAAGTTGTTTGATTTGCATGGCCCTAAATCAATTATTGTTCAGCTATTACGCTTTCGTTTCTCAATAATTTTAAAATTACAATAATGACTACAAAACCATATTCAAAGCAAGCCACACAATGACCAGAAATTTTAAGAATACGTCATTCCGTGCGTGCGATATTATTTAGTTTTCCTTCTCATTCATATTCATACTTAAAAATTAAAGTAATAAGTATGTTCCCTAAAATCTTGACATTTCAAATTCAATCACTCGATGAAATTTACTTCCATTTGAGGCTCTATATCTTGATTCTTTGATAGTTTTCATGGGTCGTATCTTGCTGAAGTGTGTCTAACTCGGCTGGATTCTTCAAGCTTGGTATCCGTTCCGGTAGAACCAATTAACTAATAATAAGAAGTTGCTGATTGTAACGCCTTGATATCAAGTTCAAACAAACCTGCCAACAGAAAAAAATGCATTAGATACAAAACCACACACAAACCAACGCAATTTAAATCAGTTAAGAAAAAGTAAATGAAAAAGAATTAAAAACTGTGAGGGGATTTGAAGAGCCCGAAGATTGAATTAGATTCAGGTGTAACCTATAGTCACGCAAAAAATTGCGTTCTGAATAAAAAGTGTTCATTATGGACTCAAGATTTTAGGGAGTGAGGAAAATTCACCGAGCCCGCAAATTGATATAGGCTTCGCTATCCTTTGCGTTAGGTGCATAAGGAGGGAGAGCCTACCATTTTTTTCTTTTACCTCTATTTTTAAATGTAGACTAAAGCCATTTACTCCTGAGCACGTATCCAAGGACGGCCACGCACTAAAGGCCACAGGTTTTACGCTCGCAGCCCATTTTTTACTGCTTTTGTTCGTATGGGATGTGAGTCAATTCGTGCAGACAATACTGTATCTTCTATCTTAATACGGATCCGTAGATGGAAAATTCTCGTAAAAGTCCACGAGCTGGCTTTCTTGCTCCTTGACTTGGTACTAATTGATACCATCAAACGACCAGCATTTAAAAAGGGGAGAAAGAAGACCAGTTGATTCTCGATCCTCGTAATTTACATCGGAGCATCAATTTTTCTCCGATAGCATCGTGGCGGCCGTTGAAAGTAGGGACTTAGATTTGTCGTTCATTCATGGTCGCTCCCTCGCCCCCGCTTCCCCCCGAGGAGCCGGTGCTCTTTTCAACCGTTTACTCCTTATTACGTCGCCGCGTCGAGGGCGTTTCATTCAGTAAGACTGGTGAGGTAGGTAAGGACATGGATTCATTCTGTAACCCATGTTCTAAGTTGCCGACTCTCAAACTAATCAACGAATTCGATGAGAATGTCATGAACTCTGAAGAGCCTGTCGATGATGGACAATTGGACACATTTCTGTCAAACAGAACTATGTGCATTAAGACATAAGCCCTGAGACTCGTAAGAATACATGCATATCAAGGCTCACGTCATAATGCACATAGTTCCGTTTGACAGAAATACGTCCAATTCGTCTGTAAACTGACCCACAGCGATCAGAAAGAACTATACAAATATTCAAAACTTGATGGGTTTTTAACTCTCCATCTCTCCACCCTAAAAATTCAAAAATGTATTACTATTTCACTCTTCTAGGCGCAACTTTCTTATGTTTCTTTTTTTATGCGAGGTATAATTGTTTTTGGGCCTTGCGAATATATATGCGTTATAACAAATCTGAAGGATAGTCCTACTTTAGTTCTGTGAAAAAAGTAAAAAATTCAAGTGATCTAGACTTAGATGATAAATGCGTTGGAGGGAAGTTTAAGAAATTATTTGAAAGTTTTTCTTTTCTTTCCGTTTTTCTTTCACTTGTTTAGCCTTTTCTTTAAGAACCTACAGCCTTTGGATGACATGGAGGATACCAGAAAAGGGCATAGACAGAGAAACATCCGCGCTCTAGGCCTCTCAAATTTTCAGGAATTAGGACTCATGACCTAGAGGCAGCCGTTCTGACCACTTGGCCAACCTGGCCGGCATAACTTTGTGTGTTAACATTCAATTCCGGATATTTTTCACTGGTAGGATTTGCATCTGATTAAAAGCTCCTTCGATTGCCCTCCTCTTTAGTCACATCTCAATCGCAGGATGAAATATAAATGGAGGAAATCTTCAACCCAGAGGGAAATCAAGAATCGTTTTCCGCGTAATATGTCCTCGTAACCATTCTGCAGGATGATAGTTGAAATTGATAGACAAAAAAGACAAAATGGATATGAAGGTATTATAAGGGTGGAACCGGGTGGTTGCAATGGACATTGAAGGTGGGTAATAGACTATCTAACGGCAACCCACGAGAGACCTTATAGTCGGTCTATCATTTTCTCCCTATGTCTATAGGAACCACTTATTTCAACCAATAGAATCGCTCCATTCTCTCTATGTTTTCTTTGTCTATCACTTTGCCTATCAATTTCAACAATGGGCCCGCAGGTAGACACAAGAAATCAGTCGCTGGCGTGGATTTGTTTTGATCGATTTCCCTCTTTTCCTTTGCCTTTTCTGTCTCTCCGGATGAAACGGCAACCGGGAATCAAGTTGAGTCGTCCGCAGGAAGGTGGGGGGAGACGTGGTTGGGTTTTTTTCGGAAAGACATAAAAATCATGAGATGAGCTCTGATAAGGAGCGGGGAGAGTCATTAACATTTTCGGAGCCAAGATGCTCGGAGCCGGGCCGGAGGAGGGGGAAGGAGCGTAGGCGAATTGTTTTCCATTGAGTTCCTCCGGTTCATTGACGGTGGACGAGGACCAGAGCGAAGAGCACTCGGGCTATCCGTTTCATTCATTTCATTCATGGCGGCGACTCATTCATTGATAAGGATCTGGTCATTACTCAACGTCCGCGTCGCCGATGACCGGTGAAACAAAGAGGAGCCAGGGTTTTCAACGACTCCGTCGAGGTCCGGGCTCAGGAAGGCGCTGCTCCGATGACTCTCCTTGTCACAAGAATCTCTTAATGAAAATCTGCCCGCGGTCCACGCCACGGTAGGGCCCGTCGTCCTGCGACCATATAGTCTACCTCTTGCCAAACTCCTCCAGAAAATCGAACGTCCAGACGAAGTCGTCAGCTCGTCATCTTCCGGCCCACTGAACTAAAAAGTCGCTTGGATCTAGAGTCCAGACTCTTGAAAACAATGACAAGAAAAAATACTCTTGATTCAATCGGAGTGGTGCTTGGATCAACAGGAAATTCGCTCAAATTAGGAGGATTGGTTCTCGATTTAAGCAAAAATCCGATTGAATCAAGAGCATTTTTTCGTGTCATTGTTTGCAAGAGTTTGGACTCTAGATCCAAGCGACCTTTTTTTCCAATGTATCACAAGCGCCATGCGACGTTTAAAAATTTCCGCCGCCATTCTGATCCTTTATGAGTCAAATTTGACATTTTTCGATGTGTTCAACGTGATTCACATGCGATTTTGACGAGAAAACGGGTGCTGTAATTCTTCATTCCTTACTCGGTCTAGTGGTCCATTCCAGGGCTCTTTGAATGGTTGGGATTCAAAACGTTGTAAACGCCATCAAGCACTGGAAAGAAGTCGCTTGAATCTATAGTTCAGACTCTTATAAACATTGATAAGAAAAGATACTCTTGATTCAATCAGACCTTTTGCTTCGATCAATAGGAAATCCGCCTAAGTCAAGAAGCTTGGCTCTTCAATTCAAGAAAAAGTCGGATTGAATCAAGAGTATTTTTTCTTGCCAATAATATTCAGTGTTTGGACTCTAGATCCAAGCAATTTTTTTCCCAATGAGTGTTGCAAAGATTGTGCATGTTTCTCTTCTCTGAAAGAGAGTCTAATTGCTCCCGCTGCACTGACTTTTCATTTGGAAATTTTCTCTAGATTTTGGTTTTATTTGCCTGACAAGGCACTTTTCAGGCTATTGGATTCTGGTCAAGTAAGGGGCTTGGAGGACATGGTGCATAAGTGCAGGTTTTGCTGCTTCAAGAAATACCTACGTGTCTAAAGGTTCAAAATTTTATGGAGCCTTGTGGCGGAAAGAAATTTCAGATTCACTCATGCTTAAAAATTAGATTCTAGGGGTGAATTTTTCACGGAATATATTTCAAGACGATTTTAGTTGAAATCATTACTATCTATTTCCTCAAAAACTACACACATGCGCCTTGTCCTCAAAGTCCCTCGAATGAGATTCCACAGCTAAAGAACTTCAAACGCACCATTTCGGTTTGGGGCGCCTTCAAACCCGGGTGATACTCTCCAGTTTGCCAGAAAGTTAGTTTAGTTGCCTATCCGAACGAAACCCAACTAGGGTCACCGATTTCACTGCACGCACTAGCGAGTGTGCTAGCTAGTGAACTGGGAATTTCAAAGACACTGCAGAGGTTCATCAAGAATCATAATCTACAAGTCTTATTTAAGTACAAAACCAATCTTGAGGACTTTGAGGAGATACGGAATCACTCCTACAAAATATGTTTGCAACATGAACGAAGGGAATGTTCCCTACTTTCTAATTATACTTGTTTGGTGTCTGAATGTTATACAGGTAACAGAGAAAAAAAATTCAAATAAAAATATTGTTCGAAAAAATAGATGAATAAACAATATTTTAAATAAACGTTAGAAAAATTATGTTTGCCCCTTCTGATTTATTCCGAGAGTTGATCATTCTCCAACCAGCGCTATTATGGGCGAGATGAGTTTGGTGTTAATTCTTGTTACCGCCAGGCAACTGCGCATAATTTATTCACACGATGCGCGATGGCTGGCTCTTAAACGTGACTAGTTGCCAGGGCAACGGAAGTTGGCGAGTCGTTTTTCTTTATTCCTCATTCTTCTTACTTCATTTTTCCTTCTTCTTCCTTCGGAGGTGTGAACTTATTGCAAAACGTGGCTGAGAGTTCCAGCAAGTTGTGGCTGGTTATAGGAATGAGGATTGAGTTCAAAGCTCGCGCAACGTGACAAATTAGCTAATTACCATTGACAAACTTGCTCGTTGTCATGTGCACCATCAATTTCGCGTCGTTTTCATTCTTGTCAGCTACTCATACATTTTTATAGTCTTCTTTAATTCAAAGGTATCACTCTGCAATATGCGTCATTTGAGCGAGTTAGTCTACGAGCACCGCGCTCACCGTAGTTAAACTCGCTCTGTAAAAATTATGCAAAAATGTGATGCACATACAATGATCCCAAATATTTTAATGAAATTTTACATCTACAGTTCTACACCTGAGATAAAAAATGTAAGTGTGAGAGGAATAATTGTTTAGGGGCCTAAACGACATAAGAAAATAGTATTTTTCGACGAACAACATATAAAATAAAAACTTTAGTGTTTTGTTTCATTTCCCATGGCCAAACGGCGAGTCCTTATTGATGTGGAGGTTGCTTGTGACCTAAGTTTGCACCGCCCTCTACAGCCAATCGGCGAAATGCCTACTTCAAATTTTCCTAGGTTTCTGAAAAATGCAGAGTGTAATATTTCTCCCGAAAAAGCCACTCAAATTCCAAACATGGATCATTCCGGGACGCAAAACATGCAATGGTGATCTTCCTCGGTAAAACAATATATCGTCACTCACCGGCCTAAAGTATCACAAGCGCCATGCGACGCTCAAAATTTCCTCCGCCATTTTATTTTTTTACAGAGAAATTGTTGGTTGAATCTGCGCAAATTTCACTAAATTTTCTTTGTGCTCCCGATAAAATTCGACGAATTGTTCAAACAGATTCAACCAATAATTTCTCTGTAAAAAAAAAAGGCGGCAAACCTTTGGAGTCGTCGGATGGCGCTTGTGATTCTTTACCCGGAATGTGACGATATCGCAAGCTTGCTAGCCTAACGTAGCTTGGAAGTATATTAAAATTATGTTATAAACTATGAAATATTTCCTTTTAATTCTACCCCTCCCCCTCCCTTACTTCACAAAGAACTTCATCACTCATCCACGTCCTCTTCTACTCCAGCTCGAAAAGTTGAAACCTCAGATGAAAAATAATTAGGACGAGGAGAGCCGCTACATCAAAACAGGAGATACGCTCTTCCCGTCCGTATCCATGGGCGAAACCATGTAACTTTGTGACAACGTGAATCATCGGATAGCTCCGACACTAAGTTCACTCAACATCCGAGCAGTAAATCCGAAAACCTTGTTCCGATCGGTCCGATGTCCAAGATAGTGAATTATGTCGACTACTCGACCGTCAGCCCCCCTCCCCCCCACGCGGTGNGCGCTCCTCCCCGAGTTCTACACCTATCGAACGAGCCTCGCTAAGCCAAAACAACACATCTACACACAGAGTTGAATTAGATTTAAGTGTTTCTTGCACGGGATCCTCAAGCTCACGTCCTCGTGTTCCACCCACGGCCCCCCGGCCCCCCTGCCCTCCGCCGCGACTCCTCCCCGCCCTTTTTCCCTGCGTCCCCCTCGAAAGCTGTCCGGGGAATATATTTTTATACCTGGGCATAACTTATCGGCCGCCCTGATCGAAGTGCTGGCAACTCATCAATAGCACGCTTGACCCCTCGTTGCCAAATTCCCTGCTCTGTAGAAAACCCGTCCTCTCGCGCGAAATTGGTGGGATTATCGCGGCGATCTGGCACGCGAGGCAGTGGTTTAATTTAGACTCGCTAGTGTCGCGATTGGCAGGTTCGATGGTGACTCAGCCAGGGAGACATCAAACGCTATGGAGGCCAAACACTGCCTTTGGATTTGTCGACAATTCGCCTAATTTGTGCCGAGGAGGCGGGCTTTTCGGCCCGATTTGACAACGCCCGACGAGAGCCTGTGATGGACGGGAAGAGGGGGATCATAAAGGATTTATTGCGTTTGGATGAGACACGAAAAATCTCAGATCCTACGAGGCATGGATTTATCTCCTATCTTGCCATCTTACAAGGGCGACAAAGGCGTCATAGGGAAAGTGGTCGCGACCTTGGCATCGAGTGACGTATTTGTCCGTCAAGATGGCAATATGAACACATAAAGAGGGCTGAACCGATGATGAACACGTCTTACACGAGTTTTCAATTTTTGAGGAGGCAAATAAAAGAAATTGTAGGTGTCTTTTTTTCTCCTTGATCACACGCGACAGTGTAAATAATATTGAGTCTTAAAGGGTTTACTCGATTTGTCTTAATAATGATGCTCTTTACTTGAAAAAAATAAGACTTTTATCATCTAAAATCTTGAAATCATGTGAGTTTGAGATATTCGTTCACGGGAATTCACAGGATCGGGTCTTCGGTTCAATTTTTTCAAAATATTCATTTCTAGTTTTTTCTTTAATCACGCTGTACTCAACAAAAATTTTCCGATGCTAGCAAAGGTGTCGATTTTTATCGATGTAATTTTTCGGAATTTTAGTCCATTGCCCTTTGCTGACGAAGTTTTAGCCAAAATTTATTGTCAATCCTACAAGAATTTCCTGCTTATGGAGTCACAAAAACACATTTTCCGAGCTTAGAATTCCCCTGAAAGCTTTTCGTGAACTTCGGAGCATTATGAGGATGACGAGCCAACAATCCCTCTCGAAATTTTCAGAGAATTATATCGACTGGACGAAAAAAATCACCGAAATCAGAGAAGACGATGAGTGTTTTCGCACTTACACCGATCCTTACCTACCCAACCCCCTCCCCCTTCCAATTTTGAGAGCTTGATCGTCACCGAGATTATCGCATAAAACGGGAGAGCAGAGAGTAGCGTTATAAATTAATATAATGGACCGTTGTAAGTCCTCATCACGCCGCGTTTGAGGGGTTTTTTCTTCTTTTTTTTCCAAGTGCAATGGAACGAACGTTTGATGTTCTTGAAAGCACCTCTATACCATTTGGCGGCATTAAGCTCCTGAGCTCAGATTATCTGGCGATGAGGATTTTGGGCGGCTTTCGCGGCTGTGTTTCTTAACGAGCAGCGAAGTCATTAAGTTGAGTCGGGCTACCTTAACCTGGACAGGTGTTAAAGGAAGCCACGGATGAAACGTTGAAAACAGTCGTAATGCTACGGTTTAAGCGCTTCTTCGGATCGTTTCGGATCGTCGGTTGGACGATAACTTGAGGGGTTCCCGTTCACAGTACCTACAGGGTGGTATGAAACGTAAGAAAGAAATGAGACATTGGAAATTTCAATGAAATATTTCATGAAATTTCACGAGCCTGTCAAATGTTTCATAATATTCAGGGGCTAGAGTATGCAAACCGCACGCTAACACACAAGAAAGTCACAAGTTTTAACTTTTGCGAAATATGAAAAGGAACCGGTAATTTTCATGAATTTCTGAAAGTTCATTAAATATTTCACGTGAAATTACAAGATTTTATTTTTCATGGAATTTTGCCACCTTGTCGCAGTATTCCGTTTGGAGTTGCAAGACTCGAGGATATTTTAGCATATTTCACACAAGGTTCATACGAAGTTGAAAATTTATCCATGTTCATGGTTACTTCGAGTTACTTTTCTTTAGTCAAATCAACTAAAAGTACTTGACTAGTAGATTAAATTTTTGGTTAAATCAACCGAAACTGTAGGTCACCCTGAGACATCTTGGGATAAACTAATTGACTTGTGGAACTGATGCAATTTGTATCTCTCGATGTCAATCGGGGTTGCGACGGTTGCGACTTGCGAAAGCCTGGCGCACAGTGGTTCGAGTCAATTGGAGAGGTCGGACATGAAATTTTTGACTAAAACTGCAAATTTTGATGTTTATTTCGTCACATTTTAAATTTCGAGGGGTGCTTGTAGAAGAAAATTTTACCAGAAAACTAATGGTACCACTTATAGAACCTCAAAGTTTTGGGTAAACGGAGTTATCAGCGTTTAAAGGCAAAGTTCCTGTTTCCTGTGGACGTGTTTTTTTCTCTTCTCCTTCTTAATCTGTTTTTATGTGTACAAAAGTTTTATCCATGAAAAAATTCATTCAAGGGGTTTATTGGGAATAAATGGCTCAATTGCACAACGCACAGAGACTCTAGAGGAAGTTACACAATAAACATTTTTACGACTCCCATACGACCTCTAGGGGTAATTTGTGAGAAAAAAAAGCGAAAGAAGCGGAGAAGACCTTACGAATCACATATAGTAGTCAATGAACCTGCTAGAACGGATCGGAAAATAAAATAAAATGCCTCGTCTAGGTCGAAGCCGTTCTGAATCGCACAAAGTGCGAAAATGAGAATCACCGCTCTAGCGTCCGTTCTCAAAATGGCTGGACATTTTCTGAGTTTCGGTCTTCTGATAGGTATACTGCCCAATTTAGCAATTCAAAAATTCTCTTAAGTGGTAGTATTGTGATGGTGGTGGATTGTAATTGCCAGTATTAAGGTACCATGAAGAGAAAGAAAGTAGTACACTGCCTCTTTACTTTAGGCTATTAAGGAGTTACGACCTTTTTTTTGCATGGCTCAGAGGAAAGGGCTTACTTTGAAGAAAAATTGAGAAACCATCTCGCGGTATGTCATACTTACTCAAAATTATTTTCCTTGGTGCACGAATTTCGTTGTCTTTGCAGCCATTCGATTATACGGGCTAACACTTAGACTAAACTGGAGAGACGTATCCGCCATTCATTGATTGTGGACTGAAACAAACGAGATTTATGTTTTAAATTTATGAAGGAATAGAAGAAAAATTTGAAGTGTTTAAATCAAACGGAACTATCTGCAGTGTGACATGGGCCATAATATGTATGAATACGTATGTATTTTAAGGCTCAAGTCACAAAGAGATTTTTTGTATTATTATTATTAATTCGTCACCTTACACATTGGACACATTGTGCCACTGTTAAGTGGGAGAATTTTTCCCAGTATTTCAAATTACTTTTCAGGAAAAAAAAAAAAAAACGACAACAACAAAACCCAAAAACCTTACTTTCTCTTGTATACTCAATTGGCTATTTTGAATGTCCTGTATACTTTCTGAGAGTCAATGAGTTTTAAGTTGTTTAGGACTTGTTGAAATTATTGCCTAGATATTAGATATGCAACTGAGTGAAAATTCAACAATTCTGCGTTTATGGTTCTTTGCTTGATTCAGCCTGCCCAAATCATCAAAAGACTGTAGCAGAGCAGCGTATGAAAAAGTTAGATACATGTTTAAATTCAGCTGTATTTCCTTGTATTTATCATATTGTATTTTATTTGTGTCATTATCCCTCTAGGCGAGCTATAGAGTAAATTGAGACAGCTAATAGTACGGGAAAAAAATCTTGACACAAGTTTCTAACTCCAAAAGTCGCCAGACATGTGTTCAGCGGCACCATAAAGGCCTCCCTCAATATCAGTGTGACGCGTGAGGTCTAAAATTGAAGGGGATAATGTTTGAAAATTGATCCCATTGCCGCATGGTTTTTTATTTTTGAAACGTTGGGGGCGAAGGCATGTCTTCGAGCCCCAAACACATACCGCTTGCGGAGCCAGATCGTAGGTATCGAACTTATCAGGTTGTGAAAAATAATTTTTTTTTTTTTTTTACAAAGCAGTAGTACTTATTATTTTATCGACCTCAAAGCTTAAAAAAACTCACATAATTCTTACAATGCACTAATTGGGATGATTGACAAAAAAAAAATACGATACGATATCTTTATTTCACACTGGAAAAAAAAAGAATCTTAAATTTGCCGCCAAGAAGTATTTCTTCTTAAATCAAGAATTTTGCTATATCAGGCTTGATCCTAGCTACTTTTTTTTTCAGTGCAGCTAGAATTGGTCAAAATTCACTTGTGTTGTCTCTTTGAAAGGCGCGGGGGGGGCAATGGAGAGGGGAGTGTTTAGAGAGGGGAAGAGGGCATCGCTGTATTCCGATATGAGCTTCATCAATACATGTTCAGGCTCCCGTTGATTGACGTCACAATGGCACTCACGTTAAATCCCAGTTTTTCCGTGGAGAGTGCGCAGAATCCTGGGGGTCATTTAATAGGGATATCGAGGGAGCCCTTGACTGCCAAATCAGATAATCTCAATTTGGCCGGCCACATCCATTAATTTCACAGTTCGGAGCAAATAACGATCTCTGGTCCGCCGCTTTATCTAAGCGCCCTATTATCACCCCTTTCCGAGGGGTGGCCTGCGCCGGGGCGGATAGGCAAATTATGCGCTCCTGAAATCAATACCGACGCAAAATCTGTAATTAATTCCGTCCTCTATTCGACGGAAGGGTAGAGCTGATGTTGTCAGCCGGCAGAACCGAGGCAGAATCGTCTAGCGTGCCGGAGAGTTCAGCTATGGTCCGTCTCTATCGATTGGGCCGCTGTGTCTCGCTCTCATTTAAAATACAATTGCGAGCGAGTGATTTAGGAATTCAAGACTGGTGGAGTCGAAATAGGTACTGTTGATATTCATCACTTTTAATGAGAATTTAAATCCGCTATTACTTTCTTTAGAATTCGGAAAAAAGTATTTGGTCCCTTGACGAAAAAATTATGGGATGGCATTTGGTGGTCAAGTTAATAAGTACATATACCGCGCCTTCGTTCAGCAATATAGACTACAAAATGTCTTCCGCGTAGCAATATTTATCAGTCTGAAAGTTGAAATATGTTACTCCATCCGGTCTTGGTTGATTGAACGGATTTGACCTGAATCAGCCTAACCACTTATTACGTTCCCTATTTTCCTGTCAGGTTTTATTTTAACAGAGAAACAAGAAACATAGCGCCTTAAAATTGTCTCTGAATTTCCCTTGTAGCCCAGAGCGCACATGTATAAAATATCGACTCGAATTATTATTACTTTTCATCGTTATGTTCCTTAAATTTTGGAGACATAAAAGCTAACGTCAATCGAGAGGCTTTTTGGGAAAAATCATTGACAAAACTCTTTATCTATCTTTTTCTCTCTTCTAATACTTAAAAACAATGTAGCCGGTTCAAGGTATTTTATGTAATACTCAAGGCTTTTTCTTGCATTAGATATCGATGAAGTTTGAAATAAATACAAGAAAAGAAAAGCTGGGAATGATTTAAAAAAAAAAACCAAAAAACCAAAAAAAAAATACCTTCCATTCTTTCACCACTAAAGAGGTTGCAAATGACGTCATCGTCCTTCTTATTAGCGCACGACATTTTTTCTCTCATCTAAATCACAATTCCCGATCTTAAAAACGAAATAGCATATCAAGCTTAAAGTAAGCTACAAACTGTGCTCCTTTTTGGTGCCATACTCATGGATCGTATTCGATAGTGGTTCCATGTATCGTTTGGTTCAAAACAAAAGATCATAACCTTTAAAAAAAAATAGGATTTAAGTTAGAAAAACTGAATATGAGAAAATGTCTAACAATTCCACTTTCCATTACCATTTTGTACTCATAAGAATATAAAATTTATCACAAAAAAACCCGTTGCTTCAGATTATGCAATTGACTTCTGAGGTTATGTTTACATGTTGAACCAATCGATATCGATACAATCTCACATGTTTGATGTATCGAATACGATCCGTAGAGTCAAAAAATTCCCAACTTCTCTGTGAAACTGATCCTGAGTGAATCTTATCAGCGAGAGACACCCCACACGAGATGCCATTTTGTCTCGTCGCGAGTCTGCGGTTGTGCGAAGCACAACGCCTTAGCAGGAAACCCAACACCAGAAATGAATGGCCCATGCTTACCTCTTGTAAAAGGGTTTGAATGCGGTGGACTCGTTGGGGGACTGGGTGGCGGTGGGGGGCGGCGGCCCCGAGGGGGGGATTTGTTGCTGGTGGTAAATCCCGGGGCCGGGGGGGCCGGCCAGCTCGGTCCGCTCCTTCTTCGGCGACTGGGACTGCTGCGGGTGTAGCCTGGGCCCGTAGCTGGAATAGCTCCCGGGTTGCTGCTGCTGCGGCGTCGGTTGCGAATTGACACTACTACTACTATAGCCAGCCTGCGTGGGTGACTGATGGCTTAGGCACGAATTATTATTACTAGTATTAGAATTATTGTTATTTGAGATAATAGGTAGTTTCATATTTGGTGGCGTCTGGGGAGGGGTGTCGGTCTGGACGTCTGGGAACCCCGTCCCGGAGGGCCCGTGGCTACTGGGATACCTGTCTAAGAAGCAGCCGTACCTAGAGTAGGGGGAGGTGGAGACGGGGACCGAAGGGGCGCCGCCCGTCGAGGGGGACATGCTGGCCGAGGGGAGGGCGAAACCGTTCATGCCGGAGCCGCCGGGGCCCTGGGGCCCGCTGCACCAGGGCGGCTGCTGCTGGGCCGGGGGCGGCGTCTTGCAGGCGGCCGTGTCGGCCAGTGACCAGATTTTCGGCTTCGTCGGCGGGATCGGGATCCCGCAGTCGCCTTTGCTCATCTCCTCCTTGACCATCATGTGCGGGTGGAGCATGTGGTGCGGGTGGTGGTGGAGGTGGTGCGGGTTGTGGCTCCCCATCATCACCTCGTTCGATTTCCGCTCATCCTCCAAGTCCTCTTCCTCTTCCAGGTGGTGGTGCTCCGATTTCACGTGCAGCATCGAGTCTGCAACAGATTACATTGAAAATTAAATCTGCAAATCTTTTAACAAAAAGAATGGCAAAATTGCAACAATATAATAAGGGAACATACATACATATTGATCGCTTTATAGCACTTCCTGGCGCACTACGACACCTAACCTCCACTGCTCTCAATAAGGAGGGAACAATTCTGATGATATATTACGTCGAATCAATGGACTAGAGGTATTACGGGAAACTCACCAAATGTTGATAAGAAATGTCTGGCTAACAATAAGTATCACGTGACGTTCTGAGATATTATAAAAAGCCTTTTGAATTTCTATATCTCAGAGCGCTAAGACTTACCGAGCGTTATCTGTGAATGTGCAAAGAACGTACAGTATCCTCCCCACCCAAAAAAAATTTTTTGTACATTTTTTTTTCAAATCTTCCTTTATCCCTCCATCTCTCTCTTTTCTTCCTCCTCCTAATTCTCTAATTCTCCCTCCGCATGTTTTTCATATTCTTCTTATCCTTCTTTGTATTCTTCTTTCCTTCTTCTTCTCCTTCTTCTGCTTCTTCTTCTCCTCCTCCTCCTCCTTCTTCTTATTCGTCCTATTCGTCTTCTCTTCTTCCTCTTCCTCTTCCTCTTTCTCCTCCTCCTCTTCCTCTTCCTCCTTCTTCTTCTTCTTCTCCTCCTCCTTCTCCTTGCTCTTGTTCTAGTTTTTCTTGTTCTTCTTGATCTTTTTCTTATTCGTCTTCTTCTCCTCCTCCTCCTCCTCCTCCTCCTCCTTCTTCTTCTCCTTTCCATTCATTGATCAGGAGAGGAGAAGGGGAGGCGCTAAATTCACAGTTCGCCCGGGTGACAATATCCTCGCGACGGCCCTAAGGGCATTCAGGGTCTTATACTTTAGGCAGGGTCCCTGTGAAGGGTTAGGTGCGGAAAGGGCCCGAAGCAGTGAGCTTGAGGGTGGAGGAGGAAAGAGGAACTTATCGTCCGAAAGTGGTCCCGTCATCCATTTCGGAAGCTGGCCGCAGGGCTGCCAAAACTCCGCCGAGGATCGGTTGTTGGGAATCAATCCGCGAGGTGGAAGCGGTCGGAGGAGCAATCCTGTCTACAGGTGTTGGAGTTTCCTGGTCCAATTTATTGCGCCGAGCTGGAGATCCAATCGCCTCCCGAGTCACCTTCCCGCGGTGGCCAAGCCCATGCATTCTTCATTTCCCTCGCTCCTCGCGGTGCCACGTTGTCGACACCAATCACCCCCGTCCATCCGCCGTATAAACAATTGATTTTGACGCCAAATTTCGCAACATCGGCCTCGCGCTTTTATTTATCCCCGAGACTCCGTCGTCACTCTTCCTTCCACCATTAGCAAGCCATCGAGTGTACCGTTTGCGCGTTCTCTGCGACTAATTGTCGAGCCTTGCAAAAAAATTTACTCTCGCTCAAAAAAAAAAAAAAAAAAAAAAAAAAAAAAAAAAAAAAAAATTGTTCTCAAAAACAACATGCGCATATTTACTCCTGTAATGGAAAATGGACCACGGTAAGCTAAAAGGAGCCAAGCCACGTCAGCTATTGTCAAATTTAACTTGGAAACTTAATCACTTACGAGAGAACTTTTTTGCGGGTGCTTTCGAAAATTTTAAGGAGTTTGCTTCGTACCATGCAGAAAATTTACCGAAATTTCCACAAAAATCCGCATACAAACGTTTCAATATAAAAAATTAAAGTGCCCAGTTAAATTTGGCAATAGCTGATGTGGCTTGGTTCCTTTCTGCTCAACGTGGTCCAAATAAACAAGTCTCTTGCAAAGGCAGGAATAATGGGTCTCTTGCAAACTTTTATCAGAGCGTTCTTCAGATATATCCTCTGTCCGTGTCATAACGTCGCTGAAGGAGAGAATTAGACAGCGATGACATAAACCTACAAGAAATAAGAAGCAAGAGGATGAAAAAGAGTAACAAGAAGAGAAAGACTCTTAGCAGGTGTATTTCCAGTTTGGGCTTATAGTGCCGTACCAAGGAAAAACGCGGTATGAAAAATCCGATGTTGCCAAATATTCTCCGCTGAAATACTTGCTTTGGAGGAAAGTCGATTATCTTTTTGCTAGAATTGAATGTGATTATGAAAATTGGAAGACACGTCTCCTTAATTTTCCAGCAAAATCGTGTTTTATCGAACAGAATTTGGTAACTCTCTGAAGCTCAAAGAGCGCAATATAATAATTAGCGCGGTGGTATATTAAATGAAAAAAGTTAGGGAAAAAGGTCGGACGAGGACAATATTTTGTCCGCAATTTAATTCGAGGTATCTGAAAGTTTCAAGGAAAAATATACATTCTTTCTCGAAAATAAATATTTTATTAGGGGAAATTTTGCAGCGTTTGAAGGTTTTTACGGTGTTCTTCCTTAGCACAGCATATACCATGTCTGACCTCTTCTCATTGAATCGCTTCTCTGTGCTGCCGTATTAAAGAAGAACGTCATATGGGCCTTCGGACGTTGCCAAATTTTCTTGGATAAAATAAGAGTTTTCCAGGAAACCTGTGAATATTTTTTCGCTAATTTTATAAAGAATTTTATTAGCAACCAGATCTAAATTTCCTGAAAATTTCAAGAGAAAATGTTCCTAACTCCTTTCAACCATGAGCATTTAATTTGGCAACTCTCGAATGTTCATACGGCGTTTTTCCTTAGCAGGGCAGGGTGAGGCGGCGCAGCGTTGTCGACGCAAAAAGGAGGCCCGAAGTCAGACGTGCATTAAGGCTACTTAAGTATTTACAAAGCCGAGACTAAACACTGAAAACAGGGACGTGGGACTCCCGACTCGGAGCGCAGGGCTACCCATTAGCCGAGGCTCGAAAATTCCCACGTGTCAATTAAATTCCCCGCGACTTCACTCCAGCACCCGATATCATTTAAGTAAACAATTTAAGCCCCACTCAGGGATTGAATGAAACTTTTTTCCACACTCGCCCGCCAACCCTCGCACCCCCCGCCCTCCCCGAAATGTCTTTATATCCGCGGTGCATTATTTAAAAGCTGTGCGCGACCCCTAACAGGGATGATGAATATTGACACCCAGGCTCCGGGGGTGAAACCGAGCCACCCCACGAGCCGCTTTCGGGGAGGGATGATTTCATTAACAGCCTTTCAATGGTTTCCCGATGGTAATTTCACGGAGGGTGACTGGATAAATTGTCGAGGCTCCCGTCCCAACTTAAAGAAAAAGAAAATACTCCACAAGTGTTTTCGAGCAGGCTCAGCGGCGAGGGATCCCTGAGACGCCTCCCTCTCCGCAGCCAACTGTGTCCTCATTGATTAACTCTCCTTATATTCACTCCCAATCCAATAAATTACTTCCTTGCCACGTGATTTTTTCCACTTCCTTTTTTTTCGTCCTTTTTAATTTAAACGAATCGGAAAATGATCCTCATTTTCTACAAAAGTTCGCTGTTTGTCACAACAGGTTGTATGTGTTTTTTTTTTCTCCTTTTTTTATCGGCAGAGCTTTGCATGCTTGGCTTTTAGGCATTGAAAATACAGCAACGGGGAAGAGTCGCAGTGATTCAAAAAAGAAAAGTGAAAGAAAGTTAAGCGTCATGTAGGGAAAGTTGTGTTAAAGGTATTGATTTTTTTTTTTAATTTTTGATTTTTTCAAGTCGCACTGGAAAAAAACATATAGGATCTAGAGTCCAGACTCTTAAAAACATCGACAAGAAAAAGTACTCTTGATTCAATCAGAATCTAGCTTTTAAATCAAGAACCAAGCCTCTGAATTTAAGCAGATTTCGTTTTGATTCAAGCAAAAATCCGATTGAATCAAGAGTATTTTTCTTGGCAATGTTTTCAAGAGTCTGGACTCTAGATCCAATGTGTTTTGTCTTCCAGTGCGAGGTAATTTCTTGATGAAATGAGTCACAAATAGCAAATCTGCCTTCGAGAAGAATATTTCCAAACGTTACATAACTGTATTTGAAATATTTTTGCGCCATCCACAACTATTTCAATAAGTCTTTTATATTTGCCGTATAATTTGTTTTTCAGTCAGCCGATACGACGTGATCGAGTCTGTCAGTAACGAAGCAACTACGAATATCAACTTCAGAGCCTGAAATCTTTATTTATTCCGAAGAGCAAATATATTTTTCCCCTATATTATTTCTCCTGCTGCTCTGAGTCAGATCTGTCAATGTGCGAATCACGTCCCACATTCATCATTTAATTCGATCCAATTTTACTCGCTTTTAAATTCCACTGTGCCACGAGCGATCGGACAGGTGTCTCAATGGACATACGACTGCTCCTCGCCCTAACTTCCCAAATAGACTGCTCCAGTGGTGACGTCATTCGATTCATCGCCATTGACATAAAAACCGCAGCGTAACGATCCATACAAAAACAGCTCATTCGTTCTGGGTGAAACCATCGAATATATCGAACACCGAGTCACTAAATAAGTCTTTAATATATCACTCTTAGCCAGTCTTCGCCTTATTGAGATAGCACGGGCGTAAGGGCGTACATCCTCAACAAGTTGATCCTTAACTTCCATATAACTCCACGATTTCCAGGTTCCATGTAGAAATTGAGATTCATCCTTACGTCAGCGGGGCGACGGGTCGTGAGAACGGAGTCCAGACACTTGCGGAAGCCAATTGGGGAACAATTTACCGCTCTTGCAAAGCTCTTACTTATAGAGAGAGAGCTTTTGTGCTTTTTCAAAGAGACAAAGAGCGAGAGAGTGACGTGACAAGTGGCGTGTGAGAGCGAGAAAAGCCTCATTTTTCTTCTCTCCTTTTCACCCTCACTTCGTGCGCAGGTATCCACCGCGCTCTATCTTTATTTGTCGCTAACGCCAGTCTGACTCATCCATTCCCCCCTCCTTCCCCACATCGTCGTGGGAGGAGGTGGTATCCGCGGCCCGAAACTCAGCGCCGAGTTCCCACAAGAATAATAGCACTCGTTTCAGGATATATGACTGAGCTATTAAAAAAATACTAACACATTAACCAGTTCGTAGCCGGGACTGCCGGGGACCGTGGAACAACGGAGCGCTATATACCTGTATATAAAAATACACAACATAAAACAAGAAAGTGGTCAAGTCTCCTCGGTGGCGAGAGCTTTACCGGCGGAGAGGTGTCTCCCGTGGACCACGGAGCGGGGCCCCCAGACGCATTCTTGAATATTCATAGCGAGTCGCCCGGGCACGGACTGGACATGGCGGGAAATTGCTCGCACACCAACAAACCTCCACTCCGACTACGGCTCCGGAGGACCCAACTCAGTTATTTTTGTCTCCGCTCTTTTCCTCCGCCACACAGTGGGTCGAGTCAACAGGAGAGGTCGGACGAAGTTTGGAAACTTTAAACGCTTAAAACTCCGTTTATATGAATTTTTAAGGTTCTAAATGTGGTTTTATTGGTTTCCTTGTGAAATTTTCTTCAAGAAACACCCCTTACAGTCTAAAATGTGACGACAAAAACATCAAAATTTGCAGTTTTAGTCAAACGTTTTATGTCCGACTTCTCTCATTGACTCGATCCACTGTGCGCCACCCGAGACCGAGGGACCGGGAGTCTTGCGATTTTCCTCCGTCGTCGACTCGGCTCGCGGAATCCCAACACTCGCAGAAATTTCGCCGCGAGATTCTACGCCGAAGCTCCACTTGGGTACGGTGAGAACTGTGAAATGTCGTCGCACGGGAACCCTGCGAGGAACTCGTAGATCCTCCGATTTGAGCGCCTGCTACACGATAGCCGTTGCCTTTGGTTCTTCTACGGGCTGATTATTGAAATTTTAAGACCGAGCAAGAGATAAAAAAGACTTGGGGGGTAGCCATCCTATTGGTTGGAACGGGTGGTTCTTATAGACGAAAGGGAAAATGATGGACTGACTGAAGGCTCGCTTGTCGTTTGTTGTTTGTTAGTCGATAACTTATCTTATTTGTACATTACAATCATCCACTTCCACCAATTGGCTCCCACCATATCCCTTTTGTTCTCTTTGTCTATTGCTTTATCTATCAATTTCAACAATCAGCCCGCTGGACCGGAAACGGTATTCTTATAGGAACCGAAGTTTTTTCGAAGAAATTGATAGACAAAAGAATATATAAAAAAGACTTACGGAGTATAAAGCCATCCAATTAGTCGAAACGGGTGGTTCTTGTAAACAAAAGGGGAAAATTATGGTCTAAGTGAAGGGTGAAGGCTCTCTAGTCGTTTGCCGTTAGTTAGTCGATTCCTTACCTCTTTTGTCCATTGCAACCACCCGCTTCCACCAATGGGATCGCCCTATTTTCCCTCTGTCTTTTATGTCTATCGACTTGTCTATCACTCTTATACACTAATACACTATAATACACCCTTGCAAGGGATGTCTCTCGATAAGAATATTTCAAAATACAAAGGGACGAATTCAGATTTTGAACATTATAAGGTAGGTACACCTATCACGATTTTAGAACGTAGACATTTTTCTCTCAGTATTTTTTACCGTGGCAAAGTATTGCAATTCCTCACGAAGGAACTGTTACTAAAGTTTTACTACTGGAGTTTGCTCGAGAATCGTTAACATTGTCGTGGTGCTAAATTAAGGATCTGACGTTGTCATGAGAAACGCCTTAAATTTTTGGTATGCAACCCGCACATCCTCGGACCACGAATAGTGGTATCAAGGCGTTGTCATGAAAAACGAAGAGAGTATAATGTTAGAGATGAGACTTCTAATTTCGGTGCCAGGCAAATCAAGGCGTCGCCATGAAAAACGCCTTCAATTTTTGCTGTGCAACACGCACATCCGTAGACCACGGATAGTGGTATCAAGGGGTCGTTACACAATGTAAATTATATAGGGCCTCCTATGGAAGGGAGGAACGACTAAGGATGCGACTGTAAAGAGAGGAACTGTTAAAGAAGCGAATCACTTAAAGACTAGATTTGTTAGAGAGGAGGCGGTGAAGTTGTTACCTTTCCGTTTCTCATCGTCGAGCAGGAGATCATCCTTTTCTTTCTCGTCCGAGTCGGAGAGGACGGCGTCATCATCGTCGTCGGTTTTGTTCTTGGGCTCCCAGGTCATTTTGTTCTCCTTCTTGAGCCGCCGCCGGGCGTTGGCGAACCACGTGGAGACCTGCGTCAACGTCATCTTGGTGATGATGGCCAGCATGATCTTCTCCCCCTTCGTCGGGTACGGGTTCTTCTTGTGCTCGTTGAGCCACGCCTTTAGCGTCGCCGTTGACTCCCGGGTTGCGTTCTTCCGCCGCGCGGCGAGGTCGTAGCCCGCACCGTAACTGAAACACGAAACGTAAAACACATCATTAATGACGTTCGTACCGACAGAATTGAAGATTTCATTGGTGTTTAACTTCAGAAGTATCACTCGGTTTATAGCGCCTTCAAACCTGTGTGATACTCTTCGGTTTGCCAGGAAGTTAGTTTAGTTGCCTATCCGAACCAGACACCGATACAGTAAAGATTTCCATGGTGTAGAACTTCAAAAGCATCACCTCGGCTTAGAGCGCCTTCAATCCTGGATGATACTCGTCGGTTTGCCAGAAAGTTAGTTTAGTTGCCTATTCCAACCAAACCCAACATGGGTCACTGATCTCACTTCACACACTCGCGAGTGTGTTAGCTACGCTACCGTGCTAAGGAAAAGCGCCTTATGAGAGACGTTGTTGCCGCACTACCTTCAATAATAAATCGAATTTTCTTGGAAAATTGTAAATATTTTTTTTTTCAAAATTTTCAGATAATTACCTACGGAATTTCATCTGAAATATCTCAATCATCGAACATTTCTAGAAAAATATTCGTAACTTTTTAGAATGTTAAGATGTTGGGACAAAGGCAACAGAAATTCAAAATTCACACCGAAAAATGTTTTCGCTTTCTACCGAGGAGGACATATTTTATCCGGGGAAATTTGGAAACTTTCGAATGTTCATACGGCGTTTTTCCTTGGCATGACAGTACTACTATGCAACCAAGAGGAGGAAAATATCTGTCTGAATTCCAACCATAATAATAAGTACTTCTTATATCTTGTTAGAGAGACATTTTTTGTTGGAAAGAAAGCTTGAAAATTCTCACATCCGAAACACCGAAATTAATTTGGTGCTCGACTTGACTCCGATTTTTTTTATGATTGGGAAGTGTGAATTAAGACTAAAACCGATGTATTCCAACTTCAGAGCTTACTTTAGAAAAATTAGATGCGTCCATCGTATGTAACGTAAACATTTGGGAAGGAAACACGTATTGTGGTTCTTATTATCATACCCTGTCTTGTGGTCCACTTACGGCACATTTGACGTTAAACTTCGTTTCGAGACGATTTTTTGCTTTACTTTGCGATGGATTCTTCTGCGAAAGTTTCAGTATGCACCCAACGATACGCGAAGCCACAATGGACGGCACGTTCTTTAATTGTTGGTCTCTGAGGTAACCTCTTGATGGGCGGAGCACCCGGAAGAATGCGCTGTTGGCCGGATAGGCCGCGGTTTTCACGCTCTAGTGCACAGGCTCTCCTCCTCTTGTAGGTGAGCCATCATTTCTCTCCGCACTCCCTCCCACCATTTGTTCGTGGTACACAGTATTGAGATGGAAACGTCACTTGTACGAACCTCCTAACGGTACAGTTACGCTTAAAATATGATTTCGAGATATTTCTAAAAGCAATGGATGTCCAAGGTGTTACTCAATACTGGGTAAAACCGAATCATCTGCATAACGACTTGAAAATGTAGAAAGCGATTAGTTATGGTGACATTTGTGCGTTTTTGAAATGTACGTCATTTTTTAACCTTTTTTAAAAAAAGAGACAAAGTTTTGTAAGCTGATGTTTGAAATGTTTATATACATATAATCATTAAATATATATCGTTTAAAGACTATAGAAATGTTTTGGAATGTTTGATTTTCTTTTTCTTTTTTTTCATGCTATCAAAATATTCACAACTACTTATTAGAATTATTGCAATTGAGAATTAATGGCAAGTTTCGAGTTGTGTTTCTTCTTTTCCCATTTATTACTGTTCATAAAAAATTAAAATAGGTCAATTAGGCATCATGAAATGAATTTTGGCTTGTTGAATCCGTCTAATTAATCCATACAAGTGGGTATTTAAAGATATTAATCTCCTATATAGTGCCCCCGCTCCCCTTCACCCTTTCATAAAAAGTAGGCCTTTTCAACGAGCCTTATTTTCCTTGGAAATGAAGAAGGGGAAACCCGTTGAGACTGTTTATTTTTCGGGTTGGTTAACGAGTTTTATGGTATCGATTGAACATTACAAACGCGATTAAAAAGACGGGTAAGCGCGGAGAACATCCAACGAGCATGCAAAGCGCGTGATTGGCCACAATGCTCATGCCAAAGTACTAAGCTCTTGTTCTAACAAAATTCCACAGATTTTCGTTTCTAAGCCGTAAACTATTCGTTTCATTTCAAAAGCGACACACTCCAGCATTGCCTGGAATTTGGTTTTACACGGATTCATCTTCGCCCTGGCGTGAATAACGCGAGCAGCGTTGCCATGCTTTATAGATTTTCGTCTGTTATAACGTGCCAATAGTCACTTGATTCCTCGGCCATGTTTCATCGTTTCCAAGACAAAGAAACGGCTGTGGAAGCCGCACTTACGGGCTACACAGAGGTACCGTTCGTCTCGGGCTCAAAAGCTGGAAGTTCCGAGTTTGCCGGTGTAGCATCCGTTGTTACAGTGCCAACACCCGGAACTTTCGGCATTTGAGCCCGGAATGGGAGCGGTCCGTCTATTTAACTTATAAGTACGACTTCCACAGCATAGGATATTTTTTTCAGTGTGAGTTTCAAATTTCATATCAGGAAAGCACAAAAAAGGGTTCTCTGTTTAAGTATGTAATATCTTCGGGAGTTCGGGAAAGCTGAATGAGCGGATGAGACTTTAAATTGGACGTATTTATGTTAAAAGGAACTATGTGCATTGAGTTTACGTGCAACATAGTTCCTTTTAACATAAATACGTCCAATTAGGGGAATACAATCCGAAGCGTTGAAGTTAAGTTACTTAGCAAGACATTCCAAATTAAAGTTTGCACATTGCTGGATATGTTGTGTAATGTTGGATATCACGCACATTATTGCAGTAAAAAATTAAATTTACTTTTTTTGGACCCTTAAATGAATTTTTTCCACTTTTCTTCCTGTTCAGTCACTTCGTGGCAAGCAGTATTCACAAAAATCAATCACAATTTTTTCAAGACTGTAGTTTCTGTTACAACTTCCACCAGCCGTAGATTGGAACTACCATTCGCATAATGGAAAATAATTCTATTGAATATATATAATAATCTATGACCAAACACAGAACAGAAAAACGATGACTTATCATTCTATTGAAGATTTGGCGTGAAGATAAAACAGTGAAATTCCGTTATGGGCATAGTTTTTGTGTTAAGGGAAGAAATATTTGCAACATTGTGAACTTAGATGCTAAAATTCGGCATATTATTAGATTTGTATTGAAAAACTAAGAGAATTCTCGGCGAGCTGACAACTTGAGCCATTCAAGGTCCGAGTCCAAAAAGGAGGTGGGAGTAGAAAAAAAAAACATATGTTCTACCGTATTGCGGACAGAGGACTGGTAAGTTGACAACTAAACTTACGAGAGGGTGCAATCAGAAAAAAAGGTAATTTATTAGCGGCTCAAGTGGGTAGACGTGGGTGCAAAAGCCCCTTCCCCTCCCCCACCCTTCGGGCGCACGCCAGGTATTTTGGGGCACTCCGATCAAGATTTCCCCCGGTTGCTCCACTTCCTGTCGTCGACAGGAATTTTCAGTTGAGATAAGTCATGTTCAGTCCTTGTCAACATCCAAATTATATCCTTTCGTCGGTTGCGGCTTGCATGTTCGCCTGTGCATGTCTCACGAGCAGGCATAAAGAAAACAAAAATTGTTCCGAGGGATTTTTTTGCTTCTCATTTTTGATTAATATTTATGAGCTTATGCCACGCTTTGTTTAACTTTCTGGAGCTAACTTATGACCTATCCACCCCAGTGTCCCTTTTCCCTTGCCCTCCATCCATCCCTTCAGAGTTAACTTTGTTGTTGTTTTCATAGTTCCACCCGGAAGAAGTTTGTGAACACGGCTTTGTACGGGCATCTTACCTATTATTAATACATTTTCACCGTTCTAGTCTCTTTTGTAGTTCTCGTGCAATTTTGTAATTTTACTGACAATGAGAGGCTACATTGGTTTCTTGCTTGAAAATCAGATTTTAATTGAATTAAATTCAGTCCAGATTTCTTTAGTTTAATTTCAAACGAAAAGCAACCCCGAGTTAATTTGTCGCCTTTTCCTGAGGCAAAACGCTATATATTTGTCGCAAAAACTTCAAACAAATCAAACACAAAATTTAGTATTTTTATTGTACAGTGTGCTATGCGCCAATTTGTGCCAGGGTTGTATTATAAAAAAGGATAGAGTGAAAAAGCTGCCTTATACCGATAAAAAGATAATGCTGATATTAGCTATACAAATACATGTATGGAAGGCAGTGCAACTACAGCTCTACTTCAATCAAAGACCAAAATTTATGCATTTTTTAAAAAATAATTTGAAAGGTCATTTTTGTAAAAACCGAGAGAATATTCCCTAATAACTGCGATCATTAATTCCATGACAACACAAATTCTATGCTCTTAAGTTGAGAACGCCCTCACCCGCAATAGCTTTTCGTGCGATTTCTGCTTAAACCAAATTTATTCCGTCAAATATGAAAACCGAATACAATCAATCAGTCGTGCAAAACAATAATTCATGGCGAAAAAAACCGAATAAAAGGAAAGTAAATCAAGCGAGAACATGAATTTTCAGACACGAGGAATGCTCCAATCCGCGTGAATCACTCTTCGATTGTTAGTACCAATAAATGTCACTAACAGCGCTCTCCGAAAATTCCGATAGTTGATAAATATTCATTCATGCTTTTTTTTCCTTTCGTGTTTTATTAGTATTTTCTCCCCGAACAGATTCAGTCCATTTCTCTCCTCGCATCCATCACACCCGGTCCGAGAGTTGATGGCATACCGGCGCGAGGCGCTTCATTTGTCATCAGACGGGAACGTTTTTCGACGGATTTATCGAAAAATATTCGTCTCATTTGCATTAGTTTTAGGCCACACAGATTCCTGTGCACCGGCTTATGAGTGACCGTGTTGCGATTAAAAAACACTTAATTTTCCGAGATCACGCAGCCTGCGTGAGGATTAATCAATATTGGACAACACTGGTTTTTGTGTTGCGTTG